GGCATGAAATTCATACCTTGTTGTGATTTTGAATATGAAACTGATGTTACATATTGAGGAACATCACAAATTGTTCGACAATTGTCTTGATGTTTCTTGTAATAATAATTGGATTTCATCGGAACATTATCGACAGAGTTTCTTGCTTGTACAGCGCACGTGTTTGTATCATGATATGTATCTCTAGCATAATTATTCATTTGCATATAAGGATTATGTTTATGTTGCTGATCAAGTACAGAGCTGTTAAAATTATTTGACTGATTATGATGAGGAAATGTATAATTCGTGCATGGAGAATTATACACAACGGGCACTGAATACTGTAATTGTGAATTCCATGTTTGCATATATGGAGATGGTGCATAAATTACTGGATGTGATACATAATCCATTGTATTATTAAAATCATCAGGACTAAAAGCTGCAGAATTGTAAATGTGCATCATTGTAGGTTGCGTCGCAACGTATGGATGTTCAATGTGATAACTGTCTTGTATCGAGGAATTCCATCTGGATTGGTTAGTCTGACATGACGACACAGAATGGCCAGGAAAATCAGAAGCCATAACAGGTCTCTGCTGTACGTTCGGTCCATATCTATACAGTACATTTGAATTTTCTCTATTCATCGTGGTTTCGAGCGTAGATGTACCGGTGACCCTGTCATCGTTTGATATTTGTGTTTTGCTATAGGGTGGTGCGTTGAAAGTATTTGGAATCTGCGACAATCTCATCGCATCATTAACTGAAAAATGTTGATCATAAAATTTGCTACTATTTAGTTCCCATGACGACTGTCCTCTTAAATTTCCTGTTTGAGTAAAAGTTTGTTGTGTATTAAAATGCATATTTTGAATAGACTGTTGTAAACTCATAATTGCTGCGCCTCTCTGCATAGCATTGTCAGGGGATTGATTCCAAGTAATTTGACTGTTTTCTAATTGATTTACATCATTCACGCGTTGCATATTTTCTACCTTTGATGAATACTGATGTATGGCATTGGTTTGTGAGTCTGTAGCACATTTATCAGAAGCTAAATTAGACGAGTGCTTAAATGGTTTGATATCTTCTTTATTCGTTTCTCTATGTTGCTGGACAACATCAACTTTACAGATATTCATTTTTTCACAATACTGTTCTGATATTGTGGTCTGGTCTTGATTCTTGTTTCTTATATTCATATTTTCTTTACTTTGTATTAAGTGTGTCTCCACTTTTATAGATTTTGTATCATTTTTATCGTTAGACAATAATGTATCTACTTCATGTACATTTGTTGATTTTACATTTGGTTGAATTATTTCTTCCTTTTGCGTTGTGCAACTTTCCAAATTGTTTGTGTCAAGTTTTTCAGTTCCTGTATTTGATTTTGTAAATACATTAGTAGGTGTAAGCTCTTTTTTCATAACTTTATGTTCGGCACTGTCATTACGATTCCTATTAAATTTTGAATTATTATATGCATATGATGAATTTCTTCCATACATTGGAATTTGTCCTGTTCTCGGAACATTTTGCACTGGCTTGGAAAATGTTGAATTTTTATATTGCGTAACAAATGTAGTATTTTTTCTAAAATCATTGCGATTTGCTTTTTGATCGCTATGAAAATTTTGTTCATTAACAATTTTTTCATTCTTTCTTTCAGATTCATTTAATGGCGAATTAAGATTTCCTGATACATATGTTGATTTCTCAATTTTATTTTTATCATCAGAAAAGTTAGATGTAGATGCATTCTTTTTAAAAGGCTCTTGACCTCTTAATTTTGATGGAAATTGTTTTGTTTGTTTTGGTAAAGTTTTATCTTTGTTTAAATTTTTACTTTGACATACTATATCAGTTGTCTCAAAATCTGTTTTCACTGAGTTTGACTTTTTTATTTCCTTTTCTGTTCCATTTCTTGAAACATTGCGCTGTTTTACAAATTCTTGTTTCCTTATGCATGCAGTATTTTTTGCTTTATGCTTATTATTAAAATGATCCCTTCCATTTTTATCAGTAATATTCAGTAATTTTGAATTAGAAATTGCTCTCTTAGAATCGCTACTATTAGGATTGTGTGTGGAAGGTTTTTCATTGTCTTTAATTAAATTTGTATTACTTCCAGTCTTAACACTTGTTTTTGTAATATTATTTTTTACATGTTCATCTAAAAAATGGAATAGTTTATATATGTATATGTATATATATATAT